TGTTTGCCAAAAGCAGGGTGAAGTCTGTGCTACCAAAAGAATTAACTGTTCCTCCAACTTTTAAGAAACATAACCAGCGTTATCCCTCCTGCAAAGTAAACCAAGCTACATATAGCCAAATACATCAACAAATGATTCTTTCTACACTTTGTAAATGATGAAGCTTTGAAAAATGCTGGAATACTGCATAAGTGTATCTGCACTGAACATGGTCTCATCTAGCTCATGTTATTAACATATTTCATGTCTACATATTTACAGTTACATGTAAAGTACCTAATTTAGATAATCACCTCAAATCTGTAAGATTACCAGGACGATATACTTCTCCATTTAAGAATATCCCATTGGGATGTAATTCTGCAATACTTAAGAGGTTCCCAAAGTTCATAAAATTACTTTAATGAGCTGTTCTCCACCCCAAAAAGAATAATAATTAGGAAAAAAAGGCATGCAAGTAGTTTAGTTTTTTTTAACACTTATATAAAGAACATAAAATGTTAAGTAACAAAATGTTCCCATAATGTCACTGAATAGTTGGAATAAAGAGCATTTGGAAATTAGATAAATAAGGAACATCGGTTGCATGTCACTAAAGCCATCATTTTATATGATCACTGAATCACAGAATAGGTAGGGCTGGAAAGGACCTTATGATCATGTATTTACCACTTTTTATGCTGTTTATGCTGAAATTTAATATATTTTTGTTTGAGTATTTGTTTCTTAATTATTCCTCCTATTCATTAAAACATTTGGAAGTAGCATCTACTGTTAATTCTCTCTCAGCACATTCTTGTGTGATTTTGAAGTATCTTAAGAGTACTCAATGACATCTTAATCTGGTTCAGAAAACGTGAGTGAACTGCACAACTGAGACCTTTACTCTAGCCTAGCATCATTAGCCTGCAAGCCCCATAAGCAAGTGGAATTCTATTCATTTCCGCCTCAAAAAAAAAAGTTGTCTGATATTCCTTTATGATACAACTTTATCTTCCTTCTCTGAGTTTCTGTAGTGCATCTCCAGCGTTCTCCCACCCACGTTTCTTTTTCTTTTAGTAGACTACAGAGCGACTTACCTGCTAAAGGAAACAATTCTTTCTAACAAATGCATATCATCCAGCAACATGGGCTTGCTGTAACTCCTCTAAAATGCCTAAGAGTCTTAGAAATCTAACTGAATTTATCTCAGTATAACAGCTACCGACACAAAGGTCTTACATTGACAGATCAAAGCTACAGTTAAAATTACACAATACTGTTAGAGTGAAAATCATTCTTTTAGCTCGCAGAATAGGGAACACATCCAGATCCAGAAGTTCAAGCGATCAACACACTGTGCAAGGCCAGACTATTTCCTTTCAACACAGCAGTGAGTAAATGCTGAAAAAAGTTACTGTGGCAGCTAGTATTACAAGTGAAAGATAAAAAAGTGTACTACAGTTCAAGTACTGCTCTTCTAATATTTGACAATTTTATGCTTCATACTGATTTGCAGACAGATTTGGCAAATAGTTATGTTGCACCACTTGTGCACACAGAAAGGACAGCCATACACCTCAACTGTTGGAAAAGAGTGTGTAAAATGATTAACAGTTAAGATTCAAAGTCTGATGTGACAGTCTACTAGTAGTCTACTAGTGCTTCTTCAGATCCAAAGGGTTGAGACCGTTTGTCAATTTGGCTGTAGTATAAACCCCAAGATAATTCAGTAACATGTACTTTATTTATAAAAATGTGTCCCATAGACAGGGAGAACAACAGAATAAGAAGTTCATCACAAGCTCCAGGAAAGAATAAACTGCTACTGGAGATCACCTCCCCTTGCACCATCACCCCATACACAAAGAGCACTCTTAGTAGGACTGAGCAACTCTTCCAGTCACTTGAACTAGACTGGGGAAAAAAAGGGGGGAGAGGGGAGGCATGAAGGGAATTAGGATTCCCATTAATTTCATCATTAATTTCATTTTCAGGATAGGTAAGTAGAATCACACATATTGTTAAGTCATTTGGGGTTCCACATACTTTCTATAAAACTCTGTTTGCAAAGTTATCAAGTCTACCTAGAAAAAAACCTGTAATTGCCAGCACTGAGAAACAACGTTTAGAGTTTGCTGTCATATAAAAGAAAGAAGAAATTACCTGCATGAGAAGAGCTGCACCTAAAAGAAACCAACTCCTACACTTCCGTATTAATTAGCTATCATGCTACAGAATTTGCATTTTTTTCCCTTTCAACCAAGGAGGCCTCATATAATGACAAAACTTACACTTGTACATAGTAACTTGTACATAGTCAGCAGTTTCAACAAACAAACCATTATTTGGGGTCCAAACTATTAATGCTTTATAAGTCAAAAAATATACCGGGACTTTTCAACTCAAGTTGTAGAACAAATAAAAACACACAACAAACAATCAGAAAAACCACAAAAAACAACCAGCCAATCAAATCCAGCCATCGGCCTGGTAAGTATCTCTTCCAAAAATACTCTTAACGCATTCCTGTATAAGTCTTCACCACTGCACAGGCTGACATTTAAAAATCCAAATGTAATACTCCCCCCCTTTCTTATCCTGGGCTTCCAAAGTTATAAAACCCACCAACCTCATGCATACGTACTGTGCAGTGATTATGTTGTCATGACCTGATGCACACATGAGGCACAGTGAACCAACACATACAGGGTCAGAATGATTACAGCAGCTTCAGAAATAATCAACTGAAACAGCATGTCCATGAATAACAGCAGTTACAAACAAAAGCAGCAGACTTGGCAAGAACACATCACACGGTGTCTAGAGGCCACATGAGTTCATAGCAGCACTTTTTTCAGTCAGCTAGAGCCTTCCAAGTCTTCCAACTGAGCTTTACATTAGAATACAGAATGCAGCACTTCATTGTAAAGCAACAAGCCTATATATAAAACAAACCTTTAAAGATGTTTTTTTTTTGCTAACTAATGACACTAAACAACTAACATATAAACATAATGCTGGAGAAAACAAGAAAAACAGTCAATTATTCTCTGCTAAAAATGTCCACCAAACTGATTTCAAAAACAGCCATTCCACAAGACTTAAAATAAGACAGCCTGTAAGCGAAACGTCTTCATCATATTTCCCTTTTTTTTGTTTTTCAATTCTCTCTTAATTTTAGTTGCAACAAAAATAGCACAGATTACATGCTTATTATAGAGCTGTGAAGTTCTGAAAGAATAGTTTTTGGTTCTGAAGGTATAGTTTTTGGTTCTGAAATCTGACAGTAAATACCTCAAAAACACTGGCTGCTACTGCAGCATGCTACTAAAAACTTAATTACAGTGCAATTTGATGGAATGTCACTTCAAGACAGTAAACATTCACTCAGTACAAAAATGGCCAAAAATTCTTTGGAAGCAATTATGTTTGTTAACTGTCACTGTTACATTTCTGTCCTACAAAACAATAATGACTCCTGTATGGATACATCACACTCAAGTGGATTTTGCAATGTATACATAAACTTGTAATAGTCTATATATTGCTTTATTTTTATATACAAATGTAATTAGTGGAGACATCCTTCCTATTACTGAAAGTAAACGTTAATGGCAAGAGAGCTATACTGGAACTCCTCTACCCTGAAAAGTTATTCAAGTTTTGTTTCTGAGATGAAGTTTGTACATTTATGTATATTAAAGTGAACATGCTGAAGACCCATCAGCTCCACGCAACTCTTCAGCAGGTGTTCCTCGCATTCTTTTAAGTTTCCAAAGAAACAAGACAGAAAGCGAGCACACGCTCCACCTGTCTCAAACCGGAGTGCCTGGCCAAGTCCCTTCCTTGCGATTTACCTGAACACCCTTTCCTCGTCCTCTCCCTGCTCGGGAGGCAGGCAGTCTTGCCTCTTGGCAACTCTCTCTTCTCCCCCAAAAGCAACTACTCGCTGAGCTTCGGGGAGGCGCCAGTCCTCCCAGACCCGGAGGCTCTTGCTCCCCATACCTCGCTCCCAGGGCTGCGGAGGCCGCCGGCCCGGAAAGCCCCGGAGTCATTGTGCCGAGGGAGACGATCGGAGCTGTCAGGGCACAGCCCGCCGTGCCGCGGGCGGGCGGGGCAGAGGGCCAGCAGTCCCGTGCCGTGGCAGCGCCCGCCCGTCCTTTCGCGGCCGTCCTTCGGGCCCTGCAACGCGCGGAGCAGTGGCTGCCTCCAGAGCCAGGAGCCCAGGCGGGCGCCATGCTAAAAACCAAAATGGCTGCCCCAGGGAAAGAAGCCCAGCTCAGGCCGTAAGGGGCTGCGCCTTCGCCTACACAGCCGCTTCGCTCGCCGGACGTCGCCTAGGTATCGTCTCCAAGCCACAGCGACCTGCTCGGCCTCGGAGCCCCAAAAGGCTCCGCTCGCCAGCGCAGCTTTGCTCCCGCTTCCCGAGCGCGGCCCGGTCCCCAGAGCCCACCGAGCCGGTCCCGGCCTGCGCCTCGCTCCGCACGGCGCCCGCCCTCGCCTCCCGTACCTGAAGCTCGGCCCGCTCCACCTCCCAGTGCGCCCTCTCCATCTCGAAGCGAGCCCACTCGTGCTGGATGTAGTGCAGGATCCCCGGAATGGTGTAGTGCTGGGGCCGGGACAGTTCGGCGGGGCCCGTCGCCTCCGGGCCAGCCGGGGCCGCGGGGCCCTGGGGCTGCTGCTGTGGCCCTCCTCCGACTCCGGGCCCCACGCAGCCCCCACCCGACTGCAGGTTCATGTTCCCACCCGCCTGCGGGGGTGGCTGCTGCGGTCTCGGGGCGGCCGCCATCCCACCACCTCCTCCGGCTCCAGGGTGCTCGTCCATTGTCTGCGGGGAGCCCTCCTCCTCGTCCCGCGGCGGGGGCCTGGAGCAGGGGCCAGGGAGGGGGTTAGCGGAGCTGGCTGGGGCGGGGAGGAGGGGGGTGGGCCGGGCACGGGGAGGGGGGACTGCGCCGAGCAGTATCCGGGTGTCAGAGCAGCGCCGAGCCTCCGCCAGCCGCCATTACAGCCGCCGCGCCGTCGGCCCACCCACCCGCGGCCGGGCGGGGAGGGGGAGCGACGCCATGCATGCCGGGAAATCGCTCCCCTCGGCAGCCGGCCTCCTCCTCCGGGACGGGCAAGCGGTGAAGTACGCATGCGCGGGAGGGGAGGTGAGCGCCGTGCCCGGGGGCGGGGGGCCTAGGGCAGCTCACGGGGCTGGGGGGAGGCACACCACCTCCCAGGGGAGAGCCGGCCCTGGCACAGGATGTAGCAATAGCAGCCGTGAGGAGAGGAAGGCCCCAGACCTCGGTGCGTCAGTCGGTGCCGACACTGGCCGGCCCAGGTCTGGCCGCCGTAGGACAGCGCGTCCAGGCGGCTTCCTCCCGCTGTGGAGCGATAGGCGGAAGTAGTAGTGTTACGCTGGGATGGCGGAGGTTTGTTTCGCCGGTGCCTTAGGGGCGTCAGACGCTCTCGAGAAGGCCCCATGAATGACCCGGTCCAGGGTCTGAGCCTAGGCGTGCTGCTCAGTCCGGCGTGCAGGCGGCACGGCGGGGATTGAATGCTGAAGCCTCTCAAACTCAGCGCAGTTTACGGTGCGCTGAAGTTGCCCCGCAGAGAGGTGGTTTTAGAATGGCGTTCTTAAATTTATGGTGTGTCTCTGGAAGTTGACACGAGTGGTCATCTTCATGATATCTCAGAGATATAGCACGTGTGTAATGCATTCCCTCCTTAAGCAGGGGAAGTGAACAGTGTTGGCTATCCAGAAGTCTTTTCTACGGAAGGTTTGCCAGAAAATTAGTGGTTTATTTTTGCCTTTATCAGCTTCACATGTGATGACAATGCTGTATTTGATGGACAGCTTGGATAGGGTGAAATTGCTTCAGTTGCAAAATGATGCTCTGAAATGAAATATTTACAGATTATCATCACAATCTATTTGAAATGAACTGAACGGTAGGTCACCCATTGTAAGTCAGGTAGGAGTTTGGGTTTGCCTCTCCAAAATATTTACATGCTGTACTCATTCAATAAAAAATTGGATAGTTTCCTAAACAGGGCTCATGCTTGGCAGAGCTGGAATTGTGTTAATTACTGAAAAAAATAAATACTGCTTGTCTCAGTACTGGCATTTCCTTTCTGTACTAATCTCTCCTCAGGTGCATATTGACATTTTAGTTGGTTTATTCAGTCCTTCCTTTTTTGCCCATTAAGTCATTTCCCAATAAAATTTCATCCTATGGTCTTCCTGATTCCATGCAGATTAGCCCATCTAAATTCAAAGCCTTTCCACCTCGGCTAATTTTTTTCATTGTCTACTGACAATATCAAATCATTACTAAATTACTAAATATACTAAGACATATAACTAGTTTAGCCTTTTGTTTAGCCCCAATCTCATGGGGCATTCCTCATTCCTGAGTGTATGGGAGTTACTGCAATTTAATTCCGTTTCTATATTCAGCCAGTATTTTGACAACTCAGTGGCAAAGGAAAACTTTTTTACTCTTTCCTTCCTCCCTGACTTCCCTGGATTAATAAGGTTTCTTTTTTAGAATGCCTGATTCTGAAGTTGAACACAGTATTTTAAAGTCACATAGACATACTTGTTTCATCTTTGGATGAATTTTAATGTGCACAATAGTAAGATCTGGAATACAAAAATTATTGATAAATATTGTTAACACTGCATGTGATTTTTATTAAAGCCTTGTCCATGGTTAGAACAAAAGTAGGAAGAACAAGGGTTTAGACTATGTGAGTGGTGTTTGTTTGCTCCATACTTCTGTACAATAAATTCATAGCCAGGAAGCTCTGTAGGCAGATCTGTATCTCAGAAGTATTCGTTCCCATACTGTCATCTATTTGTGCCTCTATGGTTTAGCCATTTTTTTATTCTCATTAATGCTTTCATTCCAGTTTAACCGTCTGTTCTACACCTAGTACGCACATAAAGTGCATTTAGATCTATGCATCCAGAAACCCAACTTATTTAGAGCTGGACAGTGCAGTAAATTATAGTTCTATCTAACAGTTATTTTTTTATTCTTTTATTCTGGTGAAGCAGTTCTGTAAAAATTGTAGTGTACTTTTTTGTTTGCTAGAGTTGGTCTCTTATTTACATTTTAGCTGAGAAGCCGTAGAATAATTGCAAAACGTTACAGTGCCATAACTAAAATGTTTCTAAACCTATGGACATTGGCTGGAGTTGTTTTAGCTTGAGAGACAAATCTAATTTGAATGATAACTGTACTGCAAGAAGTCCCAAACTGAGGTTGTGTTTCTTTTTTTGTAATTTCTGTGTCCAAGTATGTATTAATATTGCAGATATTGCAGAAATCTGTGACAAAATAAATTAATGTTGATGGCTTGTGTCTACTAAAGGAATAATTAAAATCATGTTTTAAGTGTGTTTTCTATTACTGCATGTCAAATCTGCTGGGTTGGCCATATTGGACACTTAAGATCTTTTTATCTACAAAACAGGTATTGCAGGCTTTGCCTCTTTAAGAGGTCTCAAGAGCGTCGAGGGGTGTGACTTAAAAACAGGTACAACCTACTTTGAGGTGTCTGTTTCGGTTATGCAGCCTGCAGAGCTGGCATGGCCTGGAAGCATTCCCTGAACCATCATGGTTTCTGTTTTGGTAATTTGAAGTAAACCAGGCAGGTCTCAGGTTGTCCTGAAATACAAGGCTAGAGTTAACCTATACATGCAGGGTGGACAAGCCTGATTGGGACAGTAAAATCAAGAAGCATCCGTGTCTTTATGAGCTGGGTCCTTAGTCTTCTGCGTATGTGCTGGTTTAGAAGGAGTCAAACTTCATTGTATTCTAAGTCATCAATGACTACATACTCCATTAGTCTACCAGCATGAGTCACACAAGCCAATTGTGATACCAGTTTTCTCATAGGTATTTATCTGTGAGAGATACTTTAGTGAGGGTGAGATCTAACACAGTGTAATAGTGCATATTAAAATAACAGCACTTAAACTGCATATTGTTTTTGTGAATGCCAGATCATCCTTACAGGAGAAATATTTTGTGAAGGAAATAAGGGAGTGCTACACTGTCACTCTGGAAGGTAATTTCTCTTGAAGGAAGGTTTGCAGTTTCAAGACTTTTTACATCTTCCTCAAGTGATACCTTCTGAGATTTTTGCTTCTAGGGAGTCTGTCGGTGTTTTATAAATTTGGTATGCTCAAAGAATATACTGTAAGCTATTCTGGCCAGAATTTCTAATGCATGGTTGACTGACAGGGAGAGCTGGACTTGACAGTCCATCAGCATCTCAATAGTTCCTTCCAGTCTTCTGTTCCTGAGTGCATTTGTGATGCAGATAGCTATCCAGTGACCTGGAATGGGACAGCCTATTCATTTCTGACAAACAGCCTACAGATAGTAATGTGTTTTCATTACTAAAATGAGTAAAATAATGGCAGAGATATGAAAGGCTTGCTTCTTGTCACCAATCCCCTTGAACCATTTGATTGTGTATGTGTAAAAACATCATAATGTCTATGTACATTGATATACATGTGTGCATGAGAATGCACAGAAAGCACGTAAGAGTCATATTAGAAGAAATGGAGCTATCTTTGTAAGCAGAGTACTGATTATTTATCATAAAAGGTAGCTTCTCAAATACAGAGAACTTGCAGCAGCCTTCCAATATCTGAAGGGAACCTACAAGGATGCCAGAGAGGGACTCTGGCATCCAACTTCATCAGGGATTGTAGCTGTAGGACAAGGGGTAATGAGTTCATACTTAACAGGTTCGATATAAGGAAGAAGTTCTTTATTGTGAGGCTGGTGGGGCATTGGAACAGGCAGCCCAAAGAAGCAGTGAATGCTCCATTGCAGGCACTGTTCAAGGCCAGGTTGGACAGAGCCTTGGACAACATGGTCTAGTATGAGACGTCCCTGCCCATGGCAGGGGAGTTGGAACTGCATGATCTTAAGGTCTTTTCCAGCCCTAACTGTTCTATGATTCTAAGGAATGGGAGTTTCTCCACCCATCATCACGCACAGATTTGCTTTTTGTGTGTTTATTATACTTTACAAGTTTCTTTACAACTCACATGCGCAAAACTAATTTTAACATGTTGTCTGTATCTGGAAGCCAAGATGAAAAGAGAAGAAGAAATAAACTTTGTTAGAAACAAAACTCAGTAATTTCCTTTTTTTTTTTTTTTTTTTAATTGTGCAAGCAAATGTTTTTATTTCTACAAGTTTTGGGTTTTTTTCAGAATTATTTTATTTTAAAGTAAATAAAAAAAAACCCTTAAGATATTTTTAACACTGGTGTTATTCTCAAAGTTAGATTTCACAGCTATGCTTGCATGCTTTTTGTAAACTAAAGTAAAAATTATTTGTACACATAAATTCACTCCAGTGTTTTGCAGAAAACTCTGGGCTTGTGCTGACGCTTACATGAGCAAGGTTCTGTCTAAAACTCTGGAGGCTATTTTTGGGGCTGGTGGGAAAGTACAGAAATGACCAGTGATACTAGACCTCTTTCCTACAGCTGTTAATCACCTCTTCTAATACTGTGACTAATGACTGCCTCAGAGATTACTGATAACACACTGGAGTACTACTGTGGTTCTACTCTCATTACAACATGATTCTTTTTTTTATGTCTGTTCTGGGTAAGAGCATTTGTCAGTATTCAAAGTACTGGTCTAAAGTATTTTCACATGTAAAACAATCCAGGCCATTCGTAAGAATACACAAAGATACAATAGTTGTAACATCAGAAAGGGAATAAACATGTAGAAGGATTAGCTTAATAAAGGAGTAAATAGTTAAAAAAGGGGACAATCCTGCAGTAGCATCCATATGTATCAATTCTTCATATATTGCTTGCTGTTACATATTGCTTATCAGTAGCTCAAAGTACAAGAGCTCTGTCAGTGCTCTTGGGGTAGGTATACTGTCGCACTGTCAGGTCTCACATGAATATCTGCAGAGATGTTACACCTTAGGTTTTACTCTTCAAGTATGGCTTTCTGCAACTTGCTGATTTCTGAGAACAGGGCTTACACTCCTCAGTACCATTTCTGACTAAATTATTAAAATAGCTTGGAAACAACTTGTTCAAAATAGAGGACTCCAGCAGTACCAAACATAAAGACAAAGGATAAAACTAAGAAAAATTAAAAGGTGTCTATGTTGCTGTCATCTGCTTAGCTTGGACAGACCTGTTTTGCAGTTGGGATGAACAGCTTGTGTAGCTTTTGGTCTCCCATGTCTGAGCTTGCTATTTCTTTCATTAAAACAAGAGGCAACGTTTCTTCGGTTTTTCCTCTTTCAGACCACAACCCTTTTAAAGTAGTTTTAAAGCTTCAGGTTTCTTTTGATAATGAGGTTGGCCCTTGGTTGAGTGCCTCGTTCTAAGCTGGAAGGAGTCATTCATTTTTATCCTTCCTTAGAAGGTTTGTATAAAAAAATTACTAAGTCATCTGGCTGTTTTATCTTTATGCCTCAGAATATTAAGATGTGTCTTCCTATTGCAACTGTAACTTGGGGCAGCAATACAAAATAGAATGGGGGGAGGGGGAAAGAACCACATATTAAATACAGAGAAGATGATACAGGAGGTACTCTTCCATTTAGTCAGATGTAAGCCTAAGCTGCCATCTGACAATGAAGATCCTATCATAAATTTCCATCTGGGCCCTTTTTTGTCTTCATTACCTGGTTCACTCTTTATTGGAGACCAACTTGCGCTGGTTCAGAAGCGTGGGGTGCAGTGGACCAGCCATGTGCCCCACTGCAGCAGCACTGACTGGCATCCATGACTCTTCTGTCAGAGCAAATCAACAAAAGCATGCTCCTGTTCTGGATGTGAAGAGACTTTGTCATGCCTGACAGAGATGAGGAAGCTCTGAGACTGTCACGATTCCAAGCAGATTCTCTTGTTCTGAGGACTGATCCTGGAATTCTGTTCACCGCAGGTGTCACTTATGAATTCTCAGTATCAAGTCTAATTAGTGAAGATACATTTGGTATAGAAATCTAACTTTATATATGGAGTTAGCACCCATGAATAGTATATAACCAGTTTGTTCAAGTTGCTAGTAATACGAGGCAGCATCTATGCAGCTTGCATTGTATAAAATATCAGCATATGTTTAAATGTCTGTGAAATTGCTGCTTCAGAGACCTATTTTGGGGTTTTTATTTTCTCTGCTTTTGCTTTTCTGCGTCAAGATACACTGTTTTTACATGAAGAACTACACTGGGCTGTTCTGTGGATTCCTGATACATTTTTTTCAGCTTGGACTTTCTCACAGGAGCTGTGAGATGCTTAGGAGAGAATATTTGCATCAGACCAGGAGCTCGTCTTCAGAACTGTAATAAACAGCTTTGGCGGTACTTGCTGTATTTCCAACACATAAACCTCAAGATCATTTGGCCCAATAAATCTGTGATCCACATAGGGAGACAGATGGAAAACATTACAGTGACTGTTTCTGGCATTAAAGAAAATAACCCGGAACTATTTAAAAAAATTACATCTGCAGCTTACCTTTTTTTTGCATGCTTTTCAGAATATGAAAGATGTCAGTTGTTCAGCAAATGGATTCTGATACATGCTGTGCTCTTTTTAATAGCCTTTCTCATTGTACATTGCATGTGACATTAATATTCTATAACTATTTCAGTGGCATTGTGTGGATTAATAATTACTTAGATTGAGTGAGATGAAGCTGTTTTAAGTAATTAACTTGAACAGGTTTCTCCTGAGCTATCAAAGACCCACACTTAATCTTTATGATGTGCAGAGTCTACCTTTCACTTCAGTGTGGGAAATTAGATGGGGGAAAACAGGTTTCAGCAGCTCCTGGTCCAGCTCAGGATATGTGCTTTTACTGCTGATACCTGAATGTTAAGAAGGCTGTCACTCTGCATTAAAGAAATGGTCATGTGTTGTGGCCCATGCATTTCCGTTTGTCTTCTCTTCCTTAACTCTGACGTCAGGATAGTACGAATGAAATTGTTAAATACAAATGAGAGGAAAAAATGGAATTTTACTGCCAGGATGCATGAAAAAGAGTAGATATATTTTTTCCTACGTACTATGTTTTGGCAATAAACTCAGTCTTAAATATGTGCATGTCTAGGCTGGCTAGTTTTTAGGAATTCTTTTATAATTCCTATGTTAACTCCTATTTGTTCTTTTTTCCTTACAGAAATATTCTCCTTGATTCCTGTGTCCCACGTTCAGATCTTCTGCTGAGATCAACAAAAACAGAAATGATAAAATTTTTTCTTATGGTAAACAAACAAGGTCAAACAAGACTTTCTAAGTATTATGAGCATGTAGAAATTAAGAAACGGACAATGCTGGAAGCTGAAGTAATCAAAAACTGTCTCTCCCGTTCAAAGGATCAGGTACGTTTTGTAGTTCTTCCCCTAGCCATTCTATTTATTAGCTAGGTTGGCAAAGACCTTTAAGATAATCAGATCCACCCATTGCTCCAGGACTGCCAAGTCCACCACTAGACGAGGTCACTAAGGGCTTCCTCTGCATGGTTCTACATCTCACATTCTTCATGTCAGTAATTCTGAAAATACATCAGTTTCCTTTCCAAGTCATTATTTCATTTGTACCCATGAAGAAAAAGATTGTATTTCTCCATTATGGCTTCAGTCCGTTGAACTGTTATTCTGCATTGAATAAATATGTTTTCCTGCGGCTTACAGAGATTTTGGAATTTTGTGTATCACTGGCATGAAAGTTCCTCCTTTTTGTTTAAAGAAGCTCAGAAATCCAGTAAGAATTTATTTTATCCTTTTACTGCTTGTCTGGTAGAGATCAATAGAGAGCTATTGCTGCTGCTTTGCTGGAGGGTAGTAAGGATACTACTGACAGCTCCAAGTTTAAACAAAAAAATTTATGAGCAAGTATGAAAATACTATCTGAAGCACAGGGGGGGTTGGAAACATAAACTTTTAGGCCTGTATTAAGCATTTTTATTCAAAAGAAGTGTTCACAATTTCTGAAAAAAAAGAAAAAACCCAGAAGTTGGAAGATTTCTTAGATGAAAGTTGAGATTTTCATGGCTCAGTTGAGCCGTCGCCTGTTTTAGAAAAGTACCAAACTTACAAACTGTTAAAAGCACAACACATTGACTTGCATTGGAGGAGAAATCTGTAACTTGGATTGTGAGTGAAGATTTTTGGTTTGTGTTCTGAAGGCAGCTTCCTTTTCATTAATGACACATCTTTGAACAGTGTGGACTTCATTCTAGAAAGCCTGAGAAAAAAGTAGCAGTTCCTATGAAGTACCTTAGTTCACAGACTTAACAGTGGCTAAAGAAATTAACCTGTTCTGCACTGCTCTTGCAAGGGCATCCCCAAACTGGAACTTCACCAAAGGAACTAACGGCACGCTGTCATTTCAAGGACTGAGCAAAACGATACTGAAAAAAATGCAGGAGGCATCTTGTAAAGCAGCGTCTAACAGCACCATCTGCTGGCCTCTCTTCCACTGTGAAAGACATGTTAATTTCCCTCGGGTCTGGAAGTCTTCATACTCCTAATTTTTATATAAAAATATTAATCATTTTTTAAACGTGAAAATGACCTTCAGGTTGTCTCTTTTGGAAGTGCTTCGAAATGAAGGGTTAGGGGAAGGATCAACAGCCTTCAACAAAGGAAGTCATTTCAACTCTGTTTCAGTTTTTCCGTTTAAAATACAGTATCACGTTTTCTGCCAACAGATGAGATGTTTTGTGTAATAGATGCCCTGTGAAATTTCTTTCAAGTCAAAATTCCGTGGTGGATCTTGAGAAATCCATTGTTCTTTGTGGGCCTTATGAACATGAAAGCATAGGCTCTTTGAGCACTCTGTGCCCAATACTGTTGTATACTTAAGTAGCAGCTATTATATTTTACTTGTTTTGTTTCTACCTAGTGCTCTTTCATTGAGTATAAGGACTTCAAGCTGGTATATCGACAGTATGCAGCTCTTTTTGTAGTCGTTGGAATCGATCACACAGAGGTAAGAAATTACATACCCTCTGGAAATGAGAGCTTACAGTGATTGTTATGGTCAAGAGCTCAAGTCTGCTTCTAGTATGGAATTTTGCAATAGGAATTAGAGAATTTTAAGGAGTCATTGCAAAAAAAAAAAAACTCTGTGAAAAAAAAAGAGGTATAAAAGAATGTGGTATGTTGGACTTCAGTCTGTAGCAGCAGACTGAACTGTTATCATGAGACAGTCTTTCTGAGCCTTGTGCTGATTCTGCTCTCTGAATGTATTTGATTAAATGTAGAATTATGTGGGGTAGTGTTTCTCAACAAATGTTACGTTACAGCCAGATCACCTGTCTTATTCATGGTGATTTCCCAGCTGCCCACTCTTTTAACCTCCTTGGCCAAAGAAAATCCATGCTGTCAGCTAGAAAGATGCCAATTTATTGTATTCAAAAAATGAAAAAAAAAAGTATCTGAAAAATGACAAGTGCTGTTATTTCATACATTCAGGCTGAGCCTGCAAGGCTTTAGTGTTTACATTGATTCCTGGTAATCAGAAATTAATTCAAAGCTTACTATTGAAGACCTTATCAGGGTGGTGTGGAAGGTAGCTGCTGACTACCACAGTGTCTTCAAGTCAGAGCTTTAATGCTGTGCAATGTGGGGCAAATTCTTTTGGCTTTGCTACAGAGATGGCCACCTCTACTACTGCACCATACCCTGGCTCTGTGCTGCAGCTGGCCAGTGTGACCTCTGCTGCATAACCACATGGTTACTTCATCTTCCTCCCATGGTGGCCTGAGCTTGTGCACTTTTAGTAGGCTTTACTGTATTTTCTAGTTCCTTTTCATGCAGCACCAGCTGAAATAACACAAAGAATATGGTTACCTTTCTAGCTATTTATTTGCTCTTCACTTGGTTTTAATTTAATTTCAGAATGAGATGGCAGTATATGAACTAATTCATAATTTTGTGGAAGTTCTGGACAAATACTTCAGCAGAGTGGTGAGTTGAATCTATTACAAAATATTTCTTCTCTTTAAAAGCTGATCTAGTGTGAGTTGTCCCTGCTTATGGTAAGAGGTTGGAACTAGATGATCTTTGAAGTCCCTCCCAACCTAACCCATTCTATGAATATGTAATTCAGGGAATAAATTGAAAGAGAATTTATATTTTTGCCATATACATTTAGAATTTTGAAAACTTTAGCATGAGCATTACCACCAAAAAAAACCAACCAAAAACCAAAATACACACACACACACAAAAGCAGTATTAGTTGGTTCTTCAGAAAAGTACAGATGGGTTACAAAGCATCAATCAAAGAATAGCAGAAATATTTCCATTAGAAAAGAATGCTCTTATATATTTATATTCAGGGGTTTTTTTGGCTCACCTACTCTTAAGTTAGCCACTGGCATTTTGTACATTTTAAAGAAATAAAGAGGTTTCTATTTACAGCTCTTTTTTGCAATTCAGAGCATTATATTCCCTGAAATAACTTAATTTATGGTAAAGATGGTGTAAGCATTAAGCAGGGAGCTGACATCACTCTCAGTGAACAAGATCAGAGGGACAGAGCACATAAAACCTCAGAAACCAGTCTGTACTTGTGCTCTCCATGTTGTTGTCATGCAACAGTAGATACCAGATAAAACAGCTATTATATAGATAGTCATTTCAGTGAGGATTCAACATCAGGCATGGCTCCAGTTAAGATGACAGTGCTCCTTTGGATGGGAGATACTTTTTGTTTGCTTGTCTCTACAAAGGTTGAAAACGCAGCATTATGATCCTGCTATTCAATATGGGGTTTGTAATAATTTTGCTATAAACAGATTTGCCTGAGTCACAGTTTGGCACAATTTTAGTGCAATTGCAGCATAAAACCTATGCTTCAATATGTTGGATACCCCCCTCGTGGTCTGTAACTGGTTTTCCAGTCCTAGTACTGCAGTGGATGTGCAGAGCTCCCTCTAAGGAATTCAGGGACACACCTGAAAAAGTCATCTGCACCTTTCACTATTTAGATGCCTGGCAAGTGTTTTAGGCTGCTATCTATCTCTACTAATGTCACACCGGCCTGTTGAAACTGATGGTACTAACTATATCACTTTCTGACTGTACTAAGTTCAGAATTTACCTCTTAATTGTATTGATGGCAGTCCCCAACCTAACCAGTGATAACCAGGAATGGAATTTGATTACCGACAGCACAGGGAAGAACAATAAAATTTAGTCACATCTTGTTTATCTAATTAAGCCAATTGTTGCCAACCATTTGACAAGTTTTATTTTCCTCACTTAGGGCAGAGAAAAAATAGATGTATTTCTTATACACATAAATGTAGTGTATGTAACTCCTTGACCGCATATATAACCCAACCACTGCTTAGAAATTTGCTGAATTCATCACACCAGAGCTTTTTGTACTGTCCATCTCATTTTAGGTTTGAAACTTGGGGAACTGAAAAGGGGGGGTGGTTAAAGAAATCTCATGCCATTCTGTGGTTCTATTTTTTATAGTATATAACATGATAAATGGCAGAGCACTGAAGAAGAGGGCTATAATTCTAGCTGGTGTTTCTGGCAGAAACCACAGAGCAGGAAAGTATAAGTTTGTAGTCTCATGGATTAATGTTTAGGATTTGCAGAATTTTAGCAGAATCCCAAATTATGATGATGACAGAGACAGAACTCTGGGAAAGTAAAGAACATCTGTCCTGCTCTAGAAGGACATTTTGTCATCTATTATTTTTAGGCTTGTGAGCCTTAAACATTCTCACATACTCTATTTTTACCTAATGGAGTTTACAGATCTTGAATTCAGATATCAGAACAAACATTAACAGAATTAGGGGGAAAGCTTTCAAAGTTGCCTGTGAGATGGAATTCTGAGTCCTCTTCACTTTTATTATGGCTACCCAGGGAAAACTCTGCATGCTGTTCAGAATACATGTTGCAATGTTTTCAATTACTTTTTAAAGCTGAGTAAACTTAAACTGATCAGGCTCTTAAAATACAGTTTTTGTGACACATGAAAGATTTCCAATTGAAGAACGGCAGAGTTGCTCAGCAGAGGCCTGTAGACTACAACTAGTCCAGTTTAAAGCATCTTTAGACCATAAAAGTAGTAGCAGTTTTACAAGTGGGAACTTGGCCTAAAAACAGGGTTAGACTGTGAACTGAAACCATGTTAGCAAACTAAATTCCCCTGGTAGCAGATAGATTCCCTCTTTCAGCAGACACTGAGGCAGCTCCACCCCAGCTGTGCAAGATCTTAACTGCTGAGGCTGTGATTAATTATATCTAAATTTAGACGTTTAACTGAGGCACTTAAGTTAGAAGTTTGGTCATCCTAAACTCCCATGACCACTAGGCAGGAGACGGATGAGTATCTCGGGAAAGTGAGTCATGCCTCAAGAGTGCCGAGTCAACTGTTGAAGATACCCATCTCTTGTGTTGACTGCAGAGAGACCACAAGGGCTTCTCACTCAGACATTTTGGTTAAAGGAATAAAAATACTTGGGGTAAATCCAGGCCAAGACTAGAAGGGAAATGGTGACTACATGAAGAATTATATTGCTGGCACTGGAGAACAGTTAGAAGTACTAAGGGTCCAAACCCTGGAGTTGCCTTTCCTCTCCCAGTATATCCAGCCACAACTACTACAGCCATATGTATATACAATGTCTACATTTTACTGTTGAAATGATCTGCAGCAACATTTTAAGCTGTGTTTTTATATAAATTGCAAACTTGGTATTAACATCCCCTTTTTGCAGAAAGAAAATAGAGGTCTGGAGTTCGCATGATTTGCATTGCTGGTTTTCCATCACTTAATTCAGATGGCACTGTGTCTATTCAGATTGTTCCTTGTGGGTGACCTCCATATTTTTTTCTAAGCAAAAATTTCAGAACATTAGCTTTCATTACAGAGGCAGGTAATGCATCAAAGGCAAAGCAGTGTTGCAGGAAAAGGCATGTAATTTTACAGTCCAGAACAGAAATCTGAATTACCATAAAGTTTTGTGTCATTAGCAGATAAAGAAAGACTTCAAAATAAAGGGATGCATAATGTTTATATATATATGTGTGTGTATATATATATATATAATGCATATGCCTATGAGATGAGAGATAAGCTGTAACTAATGGTTGTCTCACTCTTTTCCTTGCAGAGTGAATTAGATGTATCCTTTTCAACATCAGAAATCCATTTGTCTATCTGGTTTTGGGGTACGTTCCAGTTCATACTGTCTTCGTAGCACTGGCTGTCGTTCAGGCAAGACAATGCAGAGGTTTTTCCAATTTTGCACTTACAGTAAGCAGCACCATTTTGGCACCTTTCTGAGAGCATGGCTGATGTTCGTGCGAGTCGCTTGTTCAAATCCTAGCTCACTGAGATAAGCCTGGTACCATTTAAAGTAAGACAGGGAGAGTTTGTTTAGAGAGAACTAGGTACTACCTAGACATGAAAAGTAGTATTCTGGGGGAACTTTCAGGCTTACTTAATTATTACAGCAAGGTTTTACTTTTTGCTTTAAGTTTACAGTAAAATAGATGCTGAAATGACTGCCATAATAAGAACTGAATGTTACAGGTATGTCTTGAGGCAACTAGCAGTAGCATCATTGTAAGGTTAGGTTTGTGCTTTGATCTTGCTTCATGAAAGCGTAGGTGAGATTTACTTTCTGTATTGATGGAAAAAGAGAAAGGCCTGAGAGGAGGAAATTTAGGAACCCAGGCATTGCCACAGGTACCTTTTACCTTTCTGCCCTTCTCCTTACACAGCTGTATTTTCATGTGTATGATTTGCAGGGTATTAACTAATATATAGCTATAGATATATTTTAAATGAACTACAATCAAATACAAATCCTAAAACACAGTCCTGAACAGCTAAACACAAATAGCAAGTAAATAACATACAATAATAAATTCAAAGAAAATCAAACCAGGAGAATGTAGCAGGATCTTCCAGTCCCACTGCCTGCTCACTCTACTCCAGCAATCCTTATGCCTCTGTTTGTTGTTGGTTCAATGCAGATCTACTGGTACAAAGAGTTTCAATTATGCACCTGAAATACAGTTGCCACCCTGGAATCATGTAAATTACACACCTGAAATACTCTAAAGTAATCTAGAATTAGTACATATGAAGAACATTAAAAAAACTGTAAGTTTTTTTGTAATTGTTTTACTCCTTTACTAAAAAAAAATACGTAATTTCATTCTTTATGAAATTTTTAATGCTTGCTACATGCTGGAACTCTGTTTCATTTACTGAGCTTATACATGTATGTGTATATATACTGTATGTATGTGTATATATACTGTCTCTATGTCCTCCTTGAAATTCACAAAATGCTGTGGTATTAATATAACACTCCTAAATTAACTTGTATTAGAATAGAGCAATAAGGAAATTTCAGGATGGAGGGACTGTTAAGGCCTCTGGGCAATTATGTAACTATGTTTCTGTATTCAGTTACTCAAGGATTAGAACCATTCGTACTTGCATGTGAGTTTTGCTGAATTAGAGACTAACCTGATGACCTATTCAGTAATTATACATAAAAAATAGTCCCCTGTGTTACCGTATGGTATATTTTGAGTCTGCAATTGCCTGATTCTTTTCGCCTCAGATTGTTTGGAGTACTGATGATACCAAATTCTGCCTCTGATCATCATTTTCACACTGAGAGGAATTGCCTGTAGGTATATACTAGGCTACCACCAGCAGACCGTTTAATAGCTGAGAAAGGACACTGTATATCCACAAGCTTCTGCACACACTGTTATTCTGCACTGTTAGGGAAGTTGTATTATACACTAACAGTTGCAGTGGGTGCAATATGGTGTCTGAATAATTCCTGTAGAACTTCATCTTCTACATGGATCTCATCTGCATGAGGGTGTGAATATAAATATCTGGAAAACAGGAGTGCGCATTACTATCTTATTTCATAATACTGGCAATAATACTGGAAGAGCTCATGTCTTATGCATCCCTCTGACATGTATGACGTGAATGATGCATGTATTTTTTCCACTCAGAAATGCATCTTTCTACATTATACATTTCAGGAACAATTTTCAAGTTAAACATTTTGCTTTACATATGTACAGAAAACCTCTTTCATTTAGGAAGAAGAGCTTTTCATAAGCTGAGAGGAGCTCAGCTTACTTAGTAACCTGAAATAGCTGAAGTGAGATACTCAGAACGTTAAATGTAAAACAGAGTTGTAAAGATGAAGTGGATTGTCCAAGATTGTATTTATTTTTTATACAGCTTGAACAGCAGCCCTGAAGAGCAATGTAAGATCTGGGCTACAAGTGTCTTCGATGTTAATGCAGTGTAAGCAATAATCCATCAATATGCCTTTCATAGTGTGTAAGATAATATCCCCATCTGGGATTAAACCATTTCCTTTGCCAAATAGTCTTTTACTAACTCTTATATTCAGTACAGAGAATTTAGATATAAAATATCTGACGGAGGAAGTACTGTCTAAAGGTCTGTAGCAGTTAACATCAAGTGTATTTACAGAACCTTTGTATACGGAATATCTCTCTGGTGGGAGACTGCCACTGTTTCCTGTCTCTGCACTATTACTTTTGTGTACAGATCCATAGGAAGTTTATTTCAAAAGTAATAGTGGGTATTCTGTATAGAAAGTAGTGTTTACTAACCTGAAAAAAATAGTAGGAAATTACATGAAATCAAACCCCATGAAAACCAGATGATAATCGTTAAAGGGTATTCACCCATGCACAGGGCAAACCCCAGTTAAATCTGAGGCTGAGACCATCACACAGTCACCCCCATGCTCTTGGCAATGCAGCTTCTCCTATTAATGTGGGATGCCAGCTCTCATTTAGATCCAAAAACCGAAGTCATCCAGAATGCTGCATCATGTCTTGTGTCATAGCCTGAATCTGAAGTCAGCTGTCAGAAAGAGAAGGGCACCTTCTGCACAAGGCGGAGACTAGGTCCCATGTGAATCCTGCCCACCAGGATTCGTGTGTAATATTTATATTTATGTGTGACACGGGTGTGTGTGATACTAACCAGTGCATGGACAATTGGGAACTTATCTCTTCTGATTAGCTACTAGCCAATTAAGTAACTAACTCTAGAGGAGGCGTGGGGTTTAGAGAAGCTTCTCTGTGACCTGTAAGGCATTTAGCCATTAAATGACGTCCACTTTCATTCTCAGAGTCATTCACATACTTAAGGATAGCTGTGACAGAGCAACATAACATTTCTAAAGTCGTTTGGTTTGTTTTTAAAATATCTGTAGGTAGTGCTGTGGGACACAGTTCTTGAATGGGCAAGTACTGAAACCCCAGTCAGTCCTGAGGGTGTTGCTTCCTAATGTGTTAACAGCACTAGATGAGCCTCACTTCTGTGTATGACATGAGTGGGTGGGATTTTCTGCAGCTCTAACACTCCAGCTTGCACAGACCTACTTTCTTGGTGTGATGGTAACAACGAGATTGTAAAAATGCCATAGCTCTGAGAGCTTCTAAAGAGTTTCTAACACACAGAAGGTTGAGTTTTCTATTGCTTGAACTGGTGAAGCAAAACTTACTTGAAGACACATTGTTAACTTACAGAAGAAACAGATACGTTCCCCTTGTGGGCGGAAAGGGGGCAGACAGGGTTCTCCAGGACCAAGCATTTGAAGAATGTTGTCATGATCCAAAACCCACATTGCATTCCATTGCAGCTAGCTGTTGCTCATAGGACAGATAAAAAGCTTTGATACAGGGAATGCTTCATGTTAATCAACTGTGTTCTTCAGTTACTCTCAGAACCTAGTGCATTTAAGTAGTAAGAAAACTGAATTAATTCCTTCTGAGAATTTATGAGGATACACTTCAGTTTGTACTGCAAAATAAGTGAATGCAATGCAAACCTATAAGGATTGGCTTAAAACTGTTCTAAATTATCACAGAACTTGAAGGCACCAGTTGTCTCCTTTATAAGGTCAGCATAGCTGTTTGGGGAAGAAATGATCAGAAAGCATCAAATGGGGTTCAGTGCCTAAATTTGGCCTGCCATTAGATAGGCTAAAAGGTAACTGACGTGAATGTTAGCAAAGATAAAGTCAGAATGCGTGACTTTAGATTAAGCAAAGAGAAGCAGCTCTAATCTTCAGTTGAAGATAAACATCCAGAATGGAAATCAAAGTTTTGTAATGCTGTGTATGCAGTAGCAAAGTACCTGTGCTGTAATCTACAGAGCTTTTGTTTGGGCTCCTGGGTGTGTTAGCTGATCACAAGGTGTTGGCCACACTTTATCATCTCTTACGCCTTGACACACTCTTAATTACTTGCCTGGATAATCCTGAGGTATCTTAAGATGTCTCCACATGAGGAAGGTATTTATCACGTGCAAGTCCTGAATGTGCCTTTTCCCTTTCCTTTTCTCCTTCCCTGCTTAACTATCTGCCCATATAATGTTTTGTATCACACTTACCTCCTCTTAGTATGTACGTGCCATAAAAACTCCGTGATAGTAGAAAGTATTGTTGATGGCTTTTTATAAGGGAAACTCTTAAGTTACCAAAAGCCAGCAGAAAATACCAATTGTAGCAGGTGCCATTTACTTCTACCATGAGGTACGCAGCCACAGTGGCACAGAGTGAAATCTGTAAACCAAAGGCAGCAGGGGCTCACCTGTGCCTGGCTGCCAACTTTCGAAGAGCATTTCCTAGCTGGGTGCTCTGAAAACTTTCATTACAGACTTTTCTCTGCAGATGCAGAGATCAATACATGTGCTCTTATGCATACTTGTTTTAAAATCTATGTTAGCCTCTGCATGGATGTAGTGAAAAACCCTCAACCTTCTCCTATGGGCAGCCAGGATTCTTGGAGCTCTGACATGAATGACAGCTCTAGGTGGAGCACATGGCAGCACACACATGGAACACAGCTTTTTCCTGTTGCCAGTTGCTCAGACTGGTTTGCTTTGCTGCTTTGCAGCTCAGGTGGGTGTGGATCCCTGACTTCAAGGCTTTAAACCCTGAAATCTGAGGTCAGTTGCCAAACAAGTGACAGGTGGGGAGGATGCAAAGGATCAGAGACACTGGGCAGGGCATTCAGATGTGAATGAAGCAGTGTATGTATGAAGACCATAGAACATAGTCAGGAGACCTGCAGGAAGGGTGGAAAAGCCAAGGTGTTCCCTGTGAAATACAGGTGTTTGCCAAGCATGGTAAAGGGAGGTGGGAGGGGAAATGAAAGAAGGAGCTTTGGGACCTTCCAAAATCAAGATGGTAGATGTCTCTAGAATAGTGTTAGTATCCCCATTCA